TATGTTGTGAGGGAATTGAGCCATTAACTTGATATGCACAGACAAGTGTGGGTCTTGATGGGTTCTTGGCTTGTTGTCCTACTGTACAGTGGTGTCACCAAATGTCCCTGCAATGTGGAAAAAGGAGCCTGTTCTTATTTCTGCCACTTGCTTTTGTATTCTTTTTACATTCATAGTAGGCATCTTTTGTGTGCGTGCTCACATGCACATAAGCACCCTCCACACTTATCTGCTCATACTTAATGTTTTGGAGTGGTTTGGAAACATGATTGTTTTCATCCCCAACTCATGCTGCTTCGCTTCTTCGTTCTACATCTTGCTGTAATATCTCTGTAATGCTTGTGCCCCGAGGCTAGATATAAGCCTCTGCAGAGAATCACTGCAGCTATGAGGGCTTATCATTCATAGCCTCGACATGGAACAGTAACCCATCCCATGTCTTTGCTGTGATGGAACTGCATGTGTAAAGTTAGTGTGCTATCAAATTATTCCATTAAGTATCTTCCACTTCACCTGTCACTTATGATTTGTGGAGATTTTACAGACACGCATGAGACACACAGAGCACACTTGTCTCATACTGTACTGCACATTTCACACTGGTTTCACATAGTTTAATATCATCATCATCATAAATTTATACATGTAGAGGTTTTTGTAGCTTCAGCCTCGGTTACGTGTTCTGAAAGTACACATCAAAAACCTTTATTGGGAAATTTTATTGAGGATTTTTAACACAATGAGACAGTTTTGCTTTTATAACCTGGAAATTACAAAACAAATCCACCAAACCAATTTTCATAACCACAATCCTAAGAAGATTTTCTTTGCATGTTTTACGCAAGGTTTAAAGAGGTTAGGCTGCAAAGATAACCGAGGGCATAATAAAATTGTGAACTGTAGAAAAGGTGATTCAAAATGATTTGTTTATTTAGAAAATAAAATTTGTAACTTTTTACAGAAACCCGTCCAACCTGCTGCTTGTGCTCAGAGCCATATACTTAGTTTCTCTCGTCCGTGATAGTCTCCCAGGGGATGCTTATCTTGATGTGGACCCTTGAAGTGTGAAAGAGCACTACAGGCCATCAGTACATTGCAGTTGCCACCCACACAGCATCAATTTGGGGCTGACAATAGCCTTGCAGGGAAAAAACTCAAGGGAGAGAATTTTAGCATCAGTACCTCAAGCTCCATAATGTTAGATGTCGATCTATATTTCTTGTGCATTGAGTCTGTGAAAAGAAATGTGACAATGCAGCAGACTTAATAGAGATCAAATGAGAGTTTGGTTGAGTCTGTTTTGATGATATTAAAAGTGGGAAGGTGGTGACAGAAGGTGTCTTTATGGTGAGTTAATCCGCACAAATGGTTTGATTAAAATGTAACCTTTTTGCTGTTATTACTTTGCCTGTTGAGTGTGGCGGAAAGGTCTTTATTGGAACTGGATACTGGTCATGTAGTCGAGTGCAGGTCTGGTTCCAAATCACATTCAGTCTAATTGGGTTGGTTGTGTTCCCTTTCTATTGCCGCGGGTCTTGGGGTCTTTGTGTCTTTGTGTCTAATAGCCTAGTGCTTCCAAGATAGCTTGCTGTCAGAACTGATCACACCACATGATGCGTTATTATCATGGCAGGAGAAAATGTGTTTTTTGATGTAAGTATGTGAACTATAAAGTGCAGGGGAAAATGACATTTATTGCTTCTCTTTTCGACCGTGGACACCCATTAATTAATGTGGCATCCTGCAGCTGCCAGTGTGGATGCTCTGTCTTTGTCTTTTGGTTTGCGTTGACTGGATTTTGGACTGTATTTATTTGGACTGAGTATAAATGTCTGAACATCCCATTCTGATTAATAAAAAAATATTCCATTCACATCAGATTTTAGTTGTTTGTATGGAAAATGGGGGTTTTGGGACTTGAAGGCAGGTATTCTCTTTATTCTAAATTAATGAGGCATTAGGTTAAGTACTATATTAATACGTTTCTAATAGAGGTTTCTTAAATCGCTCTTTCCTTCTCTGTGAGTCGGACACAGACTGTTGACCACCTGTCATCACAGGCAGGCATTTTGAAACATGCTGTCTTTCCATAGCCGCTCCTAAGTTTGACTTGTTGCTACTAAGATGAATTATTTTCATCTCTTCTCTTGGCCGCAGTCCCAATGTCGAGTCTCTATTTCCCACAGCAGCCTCGGGCACATACGTTAGAGACCTGTTTCCGGGGGAATGTGGGATAGTTTGTTGTAGTTGCCATGCCACATCCCTATCCCTGTCCTGACCTCAATGCATGGGACCCAATGGGCTTTTACCCTCCTTTTCAACTCACTAGGTGGTCTGCAGCACTGACATATCTAACTCAGTGGAAATGACTCTTCAAGGGCTGCGAAAGCCCTTAGAGATGATGACATTTTCTTTCATGAGAAATCCTCCTGTCAGTGTCACAGTCAGCGATGCAAAGCTAAGGTCTGAAACACACAGAGCCGTCGCCTTCAAAAGAGAAAGTTGGAGGGTTCTTGAAGGTTCAACCGAAACTATACTGACCACCCAGACTTGAAAGGAAAGACCCAGATGAGCTATGTTATAATTATTTCCCATTTCAGCATTAAAATGTAAATTTATTCAAGAACAAAATCTCAATATTTATTTTTTTTACGCTTCGTTTTTATCACCAATTTTGATCTTTGTAGAATTAAAAGGTAAAATACATCTGAGGTAATCTATTCTTGTTTTTAGATATTAGATTTGAAAATAATTTTCATACAATATTTTGCTCTTTCACTGTCTATGATTTTCTGTCTTTGTCTACAGAAACACTTACATTAACTCATGTAATAGTATTTTGAAGCACTGGTACTTTAATTGTGTAATTTAAGTTTATTGACTTTGCTCCTGGTACATTTTCTGCATATCTTCAACCTAGTCAACACATACAACATACAAGAAGCTACATAAAGACTGCTTTCTATATACAGAAATATGTTTTTGACTTACCTTCACTGATATAAATGGGGTAAACAAAATAATAGAAAAATCTGTCAGTATAACACAATACAATCCAACATCACAACAAACTACATCCTCCAAAATGACTACAGTTGAATCAGTACCTCTCTAAATCAATTCCAATAAAAGCTGAACATTATAACCTTCATGAAGGTAGGATGTATTGCAGGACTGTTGTATTAGACTGCATTAGCTTTAGCTTGGTGTACCTAATAAACTGGTAACTGTAAAGTGTAAATATACAATATTATTTACCTCTTCTGTATGACATCCATCTCTACCCAGTCATCCCCCAACCATTCATCATATCATCTCTCATTCACTTCCCTGTTATCTGATAGGCATACATCGATCCTCATCCACACAAGCATCCCATTATTCCCCTGTACATATTCATACAGCCATCACACCACTCTCACTCCCCTCTACTCCTCTCACTCCTTCAACTCTGCCTTACCTCCTTCTATAAAGCCTTATTATCCAAGAAGTAATAAAACCATAAGTCACCCTATAACATAATGCAAGTGCACTCAATGAAAAAGAAAGCATATTCCTAAGAAATTCAAATAGTACAATTAATGTGATAGCTGCAGACTCCCTGCAAAGGCCCTCAGGGAAAGCCCAGGTGGGACCAGTCTCCCACTGCTTCTAACTATGCTGACCATCTGTCTGAATTGAGCACTCCACAGTCCCAGTGCACTGTTGGAGTACAAAGTAGGGCTGCCCCCTAATAGTCGACTTAATCGTTAGTTGCTGAGAAGAGTCTAAGTCGACCCACTTTTCATTAGTTGGTTAGTCACAAAAAAAAGAAAAACAACATCAGAATCAGAAAGTTCGGAAGCTGTGCCTTGTCGCCAGGATGAAAGTATCGGGGGATTGTTGCAGCTTTTCTCTTATAACGCAGGGAGTCACTTACCTGTGCGCTGTTGCATATGCTAACTGTACAAGCTGCTGCCACTAGGTAGTCAGCGGTACTACTAGCTGTCTGTACCCGGACTGGGAGCTATTAAAATTAATTATCATAAATGTGTGACAAGTAGTGACTAGTTGGCTTTATATAACAACTACTAGTCGAGTCAATATTCCCCATATCATGGGCCTCAAAACCATAAAAAACCCACAGCATCCTATAACCATTCAAAATCTCTCATAGGTCATTTCTGGCCAGTAGAAATTTTTACATCATAGTTAAGTCAACAGAAGACATTATATTGGCCAGCTCGGTGGTGTGGATGGACTTGGACAGTGTGGAGGCAGTAACAGAAGAGGATGAGAGGGAAGCTGAAAGATATCATGGACAACCCCTCTCATCCTCTCTATGCTGAGCTGAGGCAGCTCAGGAGCACTTTCAGCCACCGTGCCTCAAAGCACTTTGGAGGATCAGTACCTCCCACTTCCTCTGATTCAAGTGTTAACCATTAACCTTTTTTCCTTTTGTTTGACACAATACCCTGTAACATTGCACATGTACAATTATCCATTTCAGTCATCCACCTGTATTGTATATAGTGTATATATATATATTTTTTTTTATATTCTACATTTCTATTATATATTATATATAATTTTTTTTGCCCATTATATTTTTATTTTATTTCTTTTTTATATTTGCTGTTTGGAATACACTTCCCCTGTGCCAAACTTGAATTTCTCCTACGGGGGATCAATAAAGGAACATCTTATTTTATCTTATCTTATCATGTCAAAAATTCCGGTCATACTCATACATACTTTTTTTCAAGAATTTGTTTCTTCATTCACCTTGGTCTCAGTGCTTTTTATGACCTAGCAACACTCAACCCTGACCTTGCCTATTATTATTACTATTATATATTTACTGTAACTGTGTTAGCTACTGTCATCACTTTTAGAACATTTTTTACGCTACAGACCCAGTCCAACCCCTTTCATGTCTTCCTGTCCTGCAGTCTGTTTTCTCCACCCACTGCTGAGGTTACCTGAATAGGCGGTGGGCTATAAATGCCTAAAACCTGCTGCTCTGTTCTGAGAGTGACACAAGAGGTCCCACACCTCTGTACTGGCAGTCACAGGGTCACACAAGCTGCATTTCCACAGAGAAGCTTCACCACAGTCTGTGCTCATCATTCATTCTTCAACTCATCAAAGAGAGAGTATTAGCAACGGGAGAGCAGCTGAGAGGCTGCCGTTAAGGGATCAGCCATGCTTGGAAACATTCACACAGATTTGTTGGTGACAGCGACTCTACTCTTTCTAACTCAGACAAGGACTCAGTGCAGGTGGGTCTCAAGATAATTCAACTTTTAACTGTCTTTTAGCTGTATTTTAGCTGATATGTCATATGAAATAGTGATATACTGGTCATATTCATTTTGCTGGAAACTAAAGTAAGTCAGATATTTTATTTATGGCTATTTTAAATTAATCCGTTATCGTTGTTTTCCTATTTCAGGGCTGAAAATGACTTTTCATTAGTTACTTTACCAGACTGGAGGACAAATGCAGGTATGAAATCATAATTACTAAGACCTGTAGATAATTCATAATTGCTAGAATTGCTTGAATACAAATGTGTCACAACAATAAAGATTTAAATAAATGGACATATGTAGACAGAGATATAAACACTGTACATATTACCCCTATATTTGACCCCTTCTTTTTCTTTTATAGAATATGTTACAACGTGTTCCTACAACAGACACAACAATCTGATTTGTGACTGGATAAGGAACCAACAAAGAACAGGTACAACAGGTAACATTTACTGCACAATAGTCTGGCAATTTGATTTATTAAATGTAATAAAGAAATTAAATGCCAAATATGTTTTTTTAAAGGCATCAAGCCAGGTTACAATTCAGTTCAGTTCAGTTATGAGTTCACTTTGATACTTAAGAGATAACTTGAATGTGGTAACCTTTAATTGTGTCCCACCCTCCTGGAAAGGGTTTGGAACATCAGTCCACAGTTCTGTTTTAATCTACAGACTGTGTCCGTGCCTCGCTGCATATCACTAATTGATCTGAAGCAGGCTAATAATCTTCTATACCCTGGTGTTCTTCCAGGGGCAATCAAAGTAAAGGGGCCTGCAATTAATGTTCAAATTTAGAACAAAACACTATTAACAGCCACTTTGGATTTAATGTTAATTGCGACAAAACAAATGTATTTTGTGTTTTATTGCAATAAAGACAAGGGAATGGTTTGCTATTTCTGATATGATTTATGATACAACATAAAACTTAATTCCTCACCTGCATTGTTAAAAATATGTTTTACTGGGCTGCCCTGATGGCTCACCTGCTAGAGCTGGTGCCCCATGTACCCAGGCTAGTCCTTGGTTCGACTTTTACCTTTGGCCCTTTGCTGCGTGGCATCTCCTCTCTGTCTCTTCCCTTTCCTGTACTCTACATCTGTCACTGTCCATTAAAGCCAATAAAGCCCCTTAAAACCATTTATATTGTGTGATTGAATTTGTATTTGTATGAAATTTGTACTTTAGAAACAACATTTTACGTTGGTACCATTTAAAAAGATAGCTTAGTCACTTTCTGTTATATGGACGAAAGCATCTATTGTCTTATTTGCCCTTTTTCACCTCCAGAGGATGTTGCAGTGAATATCTTAGAGAGTGGTCCATTGGGTCTGGTGGGGGAGGCTTGTCTGGAGTTTTGGTACCTAGCCCCGGATGCAGCTAAAGGGTCAGAACTCCGCGCTCTGCTAAAAAGCAGCACGGGTCTGGTGGAACTCTGGACGTCACCTCCCCTCCCCAAGGATTCTTGGAGACAAGTGTTTGTCCCTTTGAACATCATTGAACCAGGAACTCAGGTAAAATGGCATATAACCATTTGTAAATAAACTGAGGAATTAAAATATAGTATTGTATATATCTAAATAGATAATCTGCTTTTATGTCAGATTGTATTTGAAGCAGTGTCCATGGAGGGACAGGTCACATTTAACCAGATAGGTGTAAGAAGAGGCTCATGTGGTAAATATTCTTTTACTCTTTTTTACTTCATCTCATCAAATTAAAAAATTAAAAATCGATCAATCAATTATTGTCATTGTCATCACTTCTCAGAGATCCTATGTCACAAAACTCTTCTAAAGCTTAAATCTTAATTTATCATGTTTCATAAGTTCACAATTTTAGTAAGGCAGTAAAAATGTTTTTCATTCTTTTGATTGATTATAATTGAGAATAAAAATCACTTGCATGAATAATAGGTCGGATAACTAAGATAATTGAGAATAGTCTACACAGGAATTCATTAATGTTACTATTCAGAAATTCCTAGCCAGATGGTGTTCTGAATATAAAGCGATTGTTTGCTCGGTCACATCCCCCACAGGACACCAGTGTGAATCTAACACAGAGTTATGGACAGATGAGTCCACCCGCTGCCTCTGTTCTGCTGGCCAGCTCTCCTGCTCTCCTTCTCAGTGCCCTAAGGGCCAAATCTGTGGTCCTCAAAGACGAGGCTCCAATGGGATTTCTGCCTTTGGGACGTGCACTATACACAGTCACACAGACTGCAGCACTTTTGATGGAGTGCTGTTCCGCTTCATGGCTCCCTGCACCTACACACTGGCTAAGACCTGCTCACCCACTGACGCCCTGCCTATGTTCAGTGTGGAAGTGGTCAACGAGCAGAACAAGAACTCTTCTCTGCCAACTGTTCAACAGGTCATTGTGGGGATGGGGGACTTCAGAGTGTCCCTGCTGAAAAGGCAGACACAGCGCGTTGTGGTGAGTTACTTCAACTGCATTTTACAGTAACTTGCAGACCAAACCATCTACAGCCTCCTTGTATACTGCAAGCTATTTTTTGCCCTTTAGCAACATACAGTATTCTTATTCCCTAAAGGACTTTTATAAGGTTGGGCAATGCAACAATATGTATCAGGGATAGCATTAAGAAAATTGTTTTGTAGAATATCAATAGTTTTACTTAAATGCATTAAATGCAATGAAAGCATAATGAATACGCCCTGGCTTATAAATAGCCAATATCATATCTCTTGATAATGGAGCATGCTATGAGTGAATCACCAAAGCGGCTTCTGCCCTTTGGAGTACACAACATGTCCTCAGTCACGGCCTACATCCCTTACATTTAAAGAAAAAATCCACAAGCAGAGAGGTATTAAGCATAATATAATAATTAACATTAACATTACCATTAAAATCATTACCTGTAATTAAAATTAATCATTTTTTCCACCTGATCTTCACTAAAAATGGGTCAGGTTATTAATAATTATTGATACTGACTGAAATGAAACATTTTCTTATGATAAGTCCTTACTTAAGTACTGTCTGTACAACTTCAGTTTCGTGACACCTTGCCATTATGCAGTGATGAGTTGTGAAATGTACTAGTTCAAGCAGTTCCCATATCTACAGCCCATTCTACTGATAACTGAGTTTATTGTTATTTAGTGGTATAACATCCTGGACTTATTGGCCTTATCAGTTCTCAAAGATATCTCTGTCTTCATAATGCCGCTTTTCATGCAAACTTTTAATGCAAAGTCTAAAGTGTATACTTTTCTTCAGGTTAATGGGGTCTGGAGAAAGCTTCCACTGAACCTCAGCAGTGGCACTGTTATCAAGAGCAACCCCGTTGCTGTTGTACTGGTAACCAGCTTTGGTCTTTCTGTCTCATATGACAACGCTGGTGCTGTCCATATCAACTTGCCACCTACTTACTCTGATAATGTCTGTGGCTTGTGTGGAAACTTTAACTACCTTAAAGGAGATGATTTCAGAAAGCCTGATGGTGAAGTTACTTACAACGCTACAGCTTTGGCTGAAAGCTGGCAGACTGGGCGAACCCCTTCCTCCTGTGAAACCATTCAAGTACCTCATCAGTGCGACCCACTGGATGAGGCGGAGTATGCCAGTGAGCTGTACTGTGGAGGCCTCCTCTCTAGTACTGGGCCCTTCACTGACTGCCAGTCAGTCTTGGAGGCAGAAAGCTACTTCAGGGGCTGTGTGGTCGACATGTGCTCTACTCATGGTGACCCAGTGGTGCTATGTGAGAAATTACATGTCTACGCTGATATCTGCCAGGAGGCTGGAGTTGCCATACCCATATGGAAGAATTCTACATTTTGCCGTATGTTGCTTTATTGCTTCCTGCATTAATTTCTCTACCTTCCGCTATTAAAATAAGGAAATAGGGGTAACCATTGACTATAATAATTCAATAAAAGTTAAGGTCATGCTCTCCCCTCTTTTTTCCCCTTTCAGCACTTCAGTGTGGTGAGAACAGCCACTATAACTCTTGTGCTGATGGCTGTCCCGAAGTGTGCTCCAGCCTGGATATAACTGGCTCCTGTGGAAGCTGCGAAGAAAGATGTATGTGTGACTTTGGCTTCAAACTCAGTGGGGGAAAGTGTGTCCCAGCAGAGGACTGTGGGTGCTGGTATAATGGAAAACACTATGAGGTAAGTAGGGTAGATGAACAGGGAACAATTTCATATTCACCTATTCACTTCCACAGCGCCAGAATTCATTCACACAACTCTCTTTTGCCTTCAGAAAGGAGCAACACTGTTAGAAGGAGAGTGTGTGCAGCAGTGCCAGTGCATGGGTAATAATGACATGCAGTGCACCACAATGCAATGCACAGACAATGAGGTTTGTAAAGTCAAGGATGGGGTCAAAGGCTGCTTCCCTTTCTATCCCGCCACCTGCAGTGTGTATGGTGATCCACACTATATCACCTTCGATGGAATGGCTTATGATTTTCAAGGGGGGTGCAGTTACACACTGACTACCACGTGCGGAGAAGAAAGCTCAGTCCAGTTTACTGTGATCGGACACAACATCCATCCTCCCCTTCAGAACTTCACCCGGTCCAAGCTGGAAGCTTTGACTCTTCATGTTGAGGATCTAAACCTCACCCTGAATCAGAGCGGAGAAATCTACGTAAGCATGGAAATTCCTTGTAACTCTCAAAAATATCAGACAATCCAAAATGCAACTCTTTTATAGCATAAGAATGTAACAATGGCTGTTCTGTGTGACACTGGAAAGCAATTGTCTCGTGACCTGCAAGTGGCCTGTTTACTGGATTTGGAGTGCCATTGTTCTGTATTATCTGCTGTAATTCATTAATGACAGTGGCTAATGATTTTAGTATCAACAAACCCATGTTTATAGCTGTCAGTTATTACTCTGTGTCAGGTCATTGGAGGAAGTCAGTTGTTTGTCATCTTGGGCTTACAAGAATACAGAAACTAATAGCTGACTTTGCCCTGAACAGCTAGTTGGTAGCTAATTAGTTGCACAAACTATCCCAGCAGAAAAAAAACCCATTAGTGCTGCTTTATGTAAGACATTTACAATACATTCAGTTCTCACAAGAATAAACTAATTACAAATAATGGATTGTCTCTCTCTCTTTAGGTGAATAATGTCCATGTCCAACTTCCGTATTCAACCAATGGTACATACGGCTCAGTATGGGTGTACATGAAGAATAATTATATTATCTTGGAGACGACCTTTGGCCTCAGAATGATGATAGATGGGCAGAACAGGCTCTTCCTTCAGGTGGATGAGCGCTACAAGTATGAACTGTGTGGACTGTGTGGCACGTACTCCGAACAACAGGACGATGACTTCATAACACCAGGAGGCAAAAACGCTACTGAGCCGTTTGAGTTTGGTGACAGCTGGAGGGTGCAAGGCAATAATGAGTAAGTTATTTTATCATAAACTGCATCTGCATACATATAAGCACAAATTAAATTATTGGTATGACAGTTTATACCATAACAATGGGGATTCCCAGTTCAATCAGCCGTCAAATCATAATTGGCCAGAAAAAATATGTGATCGATAGATTATTGCTTTTTAGTCAACTTTCACAAAAACTGACTGTAGCACAAAAAACTTCCAACTTCACAAAAACAAATACTCAACACTTGGATTATGTATAACATTACTTACAAATCAACACGCTACAAACTCGCTCCTTTTCCTCTTTACGCCTCTCCTGTCCCTGACCGAACCCCATGTGTCTAGTCCTGGTCGGAGCCGCTGTAAATAACCTGACCTCCAATGGTGTCGGAGGCTGTGCTCGTTTCTGGCTGTAGTCACTGGGAGACTGCTCAGCCCAGCTCCATTGCCCTCTCGTCGGTGTAAACAAATCTCGCCTGATCAGTCATCTAATAGAACAACAAGCTGGTGGCAGGCTGGCAGCAACTTGTACAGTTAGCTGTTAGTTAATTTAGAGTTTCCTAGATTATTAGGGGTCAGCCCTGGGTTAAACCCAATGGAAAACATACCTGCTCACAATTATAATCAGTATGCAAATATGCTCACAATTAATTTAACATAATGAATATAATAACATTCAACCAGCACACTGCCCAAGTACATAAATCCTTGAAATATCTTCTCTGTAGAGAAAGCTGTCTGTGCTACAAATAGTTACTACCCATAAGTAGTAATCTATTATCATCCACACAATATCACAACCTGGCTCGCTTGATTGGCAAAAAATATACACAAAGTTCACAACCTGGCAACCCAAAATGTATTTTTATTAATGCATTAGAACAAGTTGTTAAATAATCAACCATTAACTTATTTTGTCTTATTTTAAAGTGGCACGATAAATCCAAATGTCTAGATCTTTAATTGTGTAAACTTTCTCCTCCAGGTGTATTTCCCATCCAAATGATCCCAGGCACTGTGATTATGATGAGGAGAATGAGGCCTACAATGAATGCTACACGCTGCTAGGGGATGCCTTTAAGCCCTGCCATGAAACCATTCACCCAAGCATCTACATCAATAGTTGTGTGTATGACTACTGTGCCACAAGTGGTGACCAACACACACTATGTGAATCTCTGAAGTCCTATGCAGCAGCATGCCAAGTTGCAGGAGTGGAGCTGACCAACTGGCAGACAGGCACAGCCTGTGGTGAGTGTTGGAGTCATTTGTGGTTACTGTGGTAATGATATTGGTTGTGACTAAATTTAAGGAATTCTTTTTTGTTGATTTATTGTACAGAAGATTGGATAAAGTCATTCTGTTACATGTCCTGTATTTCGTACTTATTGATTCTCTTTACCAATGATATCTTCAAAACTCTCTGCTCCTGCTTTTTATTCTTTTCATTACGGCACAGGATCAGCCCATCACATAAGGCAACTGCCTATAGTCTGAGCCTGAGTGAATCTTTTTTGTTTCTTTTGTCACTGATACAAGTGAAGTTGGAGAAATTAGGTGGTTTAGATGCGGAGGCGGTGGCCTAACGTAAAATATCACACAGGCCGCCAAAAAAGGCTGAAGTGGTGAACTCATTTCTTTTTTTTTTTTGTTTCTTTGTTTGTTTGTTTGGTTTTTGTTTTGTTTTTTTGTTCCCATTTCAGCTGACCCCTCAACCACCGCAACTCCTCCAACAACTCCAACTCCCACATCTCCAACACAAGATCAGACTTGTAAGAGCATTCAGGGTTCAGAAGGTTTATTTGTTACTGGTTGGGATAATCAGTGGCATAATTTCTAATTATTTCAAAACCAAATATTATATTTGACTATGCTTTGCTCAACAATCTATACATTTATAGATGTTTGAATATAAATGTATTTGAATAACTTTGAATAACCTTGGTAATTATCTACAGATTGGATGAATATAATCATTTATTGTGGACAATTAATTTTAAAATAAAATGATATTTTTCCTACTGTAAGGTTTGTACAGATAATTAGCTCATAATGCTTCATCATCATTTCCATTGTGTTTATATGCATTTTCATAGTCTGTCCCATGAATTGCGACTTTGAAAAAAATCTGTGTGGGTGGGAACAGCTCATACAGGACAGTTTTGACTGGACAAGAAATTCAGGACCCACCCCATCAACCCTAACTGGCCCAAACCAAGACCACACCACTGGAGGTAAAACCGGTTATCACTCCACACCATCACGTCTGTTGTGTTGCTAAATTGGATTTCCATTATTTATGTTTATTGTGCTATTTTCAACATTTCTCTAGCTGGTTTCTACATTTATATTGAGGGAAATAGTGTAACCCACGGAGATTCAGCCCGTCTACTGAGCTCAATGTGCCATTATGATGGCCCACTCTGCCTGCACTTTTGGTACCATATGTATGGTTCAGCTTCAGCCATGGCCCTCAATATCTACCTGCTCAAAGACAATAAAGCTACCAAGCTCTGGTCTATGATGAACAACCAGGGACCAGAATGGCATCCAGTAAATGTTGACATCAGAGTGTCTGGTCCATTCCAAGTAAGTCTGACACGATATACACACAATATATGGGCCTAAAAGATGCTGGTTGAATTTTGCACATTTTTATTGCAAAGACAAAAGATCTTATTCTATACAGTGAAACATATTTTCCTACTACCTTTTTCAGATTATAGTGGAGGGAATTCGAGGCTCTAATGCTGAATCAGATGTGGCCATGGATGACATTTCCGTGCATTTTGGCTCATGCTCAGGTGACATTCACCTCTATCAAAAAGGGGAACGAAACATTATATTGGATTAAGGATATAATAAATTATAACATTTGTAATGGCGCAAATAAATTAAGACCAGATATCACAGGGTTTAAACAGTCAATAATTACTTCCTTTAGGTAGTTTTCCTGGCCTGGTTAGTGGAACTGAACTTCCTTCCACATCTGCAGAAATCCTCCCCTCACACCCAGGTAAGTGCATGAAGCTGTATTTAATGGGCCACTTGTTTCTGCTTTAGAAAGCAGAAGTGTGGTTACAAATTAACATTTGTGTCTAGTCCAGTAAATACTGGATGTGCCGTTCTTAGTGGTAATTGAAGTTACAGATTGACTGACTTTTTAGGAAGTTGCATAAGGGCCATAATACTTCATGTTAATTTTTTGCAAATGATTCCCTTATAGTCTGCAACATCGACTGTAGCTTTGACAGCAACCTCTGTAGCTGGAATCAGATGATCACAGATGCTTTTGACTGGACATGGCAAAGTGGTTCCACCCCCACCCTGCTGACTGGGCCCTCTGCTGACCACACTGGTGGTAATACACTCTTTTGCTATGTTATATTGTAAATGGTGATAATGCACAGAAGTAATGGGAAAAGCGATGTTACCATGTAAGTATATCTGAGAATGTTGATAATTTCATTCCTGTTTTCTAGGTGGTCACTATCTTTACATCGAGGCCAGCAGCGTGACACACGGAGACACGGCTCGTCTCATCAGTTCTAAGTGTTCTGCCTCTGGTCCTCAGTGTCTGCAGTTCTGGTACCATATGTACGGTTCAGCAGATACAATGGGCCTCCATGTCTACTTGGTCCAAAACAGATTAACCGACGCTGTTTGGTGGAAAAGAAATGACCAAGGAAATATGTGGCAACTGGCTCAGGTGGACTTCACAACAACTGGAGCTTTCCAGGTCAGACACCTTCCACCAGGCACTGGTGTCGTAATGATAGAATATTAACTACAACAGATGTCTTACGAATAGTAACAAATCAATTTTTTTTCCAAACTCAGATTATCATTGAGGGGCGTAGAGGCTCCAGCGAGGTGTCTGACGTGGCCGTGGATGATGTAAAGCTTTATCGTGGTCAATGCTCTGGTAGGAAACATCCACACAGAATAAAAACCACTACAGTTGTATGGAAAAGTTCAGGCACCCTTTGATAAATTACATATTTAGTGCATTTTATATTTGAAAATATGTAAACACAACAACATAAAACAAATAACATAAAACACAACACACAAACAATATTTTCCGCAAACATTAATGCATAGTTACATTTATATCATAAACTGAACAAAAATAAAAACATGATTATGGCATGTGCTAAAGTTTGGGCATCCTACATTGTAAGTATTTAGTAATACCCACTCGGACAGCTTGCAAACGCTTTGTATAGCCAGGTCTTTAATTAAACACAGGTCTTTTAGAGATGTACCCAGAGATTTTCAGTTGTGTTTAAGTCAGGGGACAATGAGAGCCATTCTAAAACCTTTGCCCAACTTTTGCATACAATTGTAAAATGTTTTAAATATTTGCAATTACTAACACTGTTATCAACAATTCTTGCACTGTTGCAGATCTGGGTGGTCTTGTGACAACAAGTCCTCCTGAACTTGATGGAAACACCACAGCTCTTCCAAGTGTACCTGTGCCAACCACAGCTCCAGAGCCTCCTCTGGTCAATGTTACAGCTCAGCCACCTGTACCAAATGTCACCATACCTCCCGTAGTGGAGGCAACAACCAACTTATATAATGATAATGTTACTGAAGCTTCAGATAATAGACCACCTCCACACCCAGGTACATAGTAGCCCTAGTGTTGATTTCCATAATTTTTTATTTTCACTTTCAGTTTTTGTGATCTTCACAGTACGTCAGTGATATGTCTGACTTTCGTTTCCAGTATGCCAACTCAACTGTAATTTTGAACAAGATCTATGTCAGTGGAGTAACCTTCTTACGGATGTTTTTGATTGGACAAGAAACAGTGGGTCCACTCCTACTATGATGACTGGGCCTTCTTCGGATCACACCACAGGGGGTAATTAGCCTTCTGACCCAATCTAAGTAACACTGCCCTAGAACTGTCATGGAAAAAATGAAGAGATTGACATCAGACACAGACACACCTATAACTAGTCAAAACCCCTTTGTTGAAGCTTCCTTGTCAAACCAGAATGGTAGACTAAATGCTGTGTGGCCAAGAGTTCCTTGTGTACTGTATTTCAGACATTTTTCATTTAACCTCCAGGGTATGTGCCAGTAGAGCTGCTCTTTATTGTTATGTCATTGTTTAAAAGACATTTGCAGTCTGAACATTTAGCATCTAGTTCTAGCTTACATGTCTCAAATGTATAATTAAAACAGAAATCATCACATTATTTAAGAAAACTTGCTGTGCGTAACTTTAACTTACTTAATTCTCATGTCCTTAACCAGATGGCCACTATCTTTATATCGAAGCCAACAGTGTGTCGCATGGAGACACGGCTCGTCTCATCAGCTCAGAGTGTTTTTACTCTGGTCCTCAGTGTCTGCAGTTCTGGTACCATATGTACGGTTCAGCGGATACAATGGGCCTCCATGTCTACTCGGTCCAAAACAGATTAACTGACGCTGTTTGGTGGAAAAGAAATGACCAAGGAAATATGTGGCAAATGGCTCAGGTAGACTTGACAACAACTGGAGCTTTCCAGGTGAGGTTACTAACATCATATGTTTCTTCTCCTAACCTGAAATGTCAGAGCAAAACACTAATAATAATAATAATAATAAGTGTGATAATAATAACAGTGTACTACCTGCAAAAAAAACCAACATAACATGACCTAATGAATCTCGGTGCTATAACTGGTTCTGTGTATTAACCCGTGCACTTAATTTCAGATCATTTTTGAGGGTCGAAGAGGTTCCAACGATCAGTCTGATGTGGCCATAGATGATGTATCGCTGCATCATGGGCACTGTGCAGGTAATTCTGCCTTCCTACTGACATTCAATTTAGTTCATAGAGATTTTAACTGAAAACTGATGTAAATTTATTGTGAAATGTTGTTACAGACCTGGCTAAACCAACAACCCCATCTCCCACAACCTTCAATCCAGCTGCAACAGAAGTCCCGGAGCTTCCTCCAGCAAACAGCTCAACTGCTACACAGCCACAAACATCAACATCAAAACCACAGCCACCATCAACAACTACCATTACAATGACCACCACAACAACAGCAGCTACTGTAACCACAAAGACCACACCACAGCTACCAATAACAACCAGACCAATAACATCAGCCACACCAGGACCACCAACAACAACTAGACCACAACTTCCAACTGAAACTCTGCCACAAACAACAGTTAAACCACAACCACCAACCACATCTCAACCTGAGTCACAAACAACAAATAGGCCACAACCTACAACAACCATTAAA